AGCCACCCCCCCCCCCCCCCCCCCATACAGGCCTTCATTCAGATCACATATGTTGAGCCATACTTTGACACTTATGAAATGAAGGACCGCATCACGTACTTCGACAAGAATTACAACCTGCGCCGCTTCGTCTACTGCACGCCGTTCACACTCGATGGAAGAGCTCACGGTGACCTGCATGAACAGTTCAAACGAAAGACCAATCTCACTACCTCCCACGCTTTCCCCTACATCAAAACCCGCATCAACATCATCCACAAAGAGGAGGTAACTCAAACGCACATGCTTTGTGAAAGCCTCTTTGGGTATTCATGCTAGTTGGAAATTACATGACAAGTATCAAGATCGTTTAAATAGATCATGGAATATAAGTGTACTTGTTCATTTAGTACCATGGTATAACAAATTAATGCTCAGTGTCATTTTAGTATTAGTTATGTTCAATTTCAGCTCCCCCCCCTCCCCAGTTGTTATTTTAATTTTAGAGTTGTTGTAATTTTGTTTTGTGCATTTGTCATATATATATATATTCTATTTAGCTTTATTTTTATTTCAATTTTAGTATTTTAATTTATAAAAAAGTAGTAATTTAATTTATAAAAATATAAATATTTCAGCAAATATTTATATAATTTGACTTCAGCTTTATTTCAATTAATTATTATTATTTTTTTTTTTATAGTTTTGGTTTTAGTTAACAATAACACTGAATGCCGCAGTGTTTTTGTAAGGTTAAGGAAAGATATTAATATATTACTATTTGCTTTTCAGATCATCTCCACGCCAATTGAAGTAGCCATTGAGGATATGCAGAAGAAGACACAGGAGCTGGCTTTTGCAACTCATCAGGACCCATCTGATGCCAAAATGTTACAGATGGTTCTGCAGGGGTCTGTTGGCACCACTGTTAACCAGGTGACTAGTTGAGCCTGTTCACTTAATAATACATATGCAGTATCACTGTTGTCTCCTGGATAAATTTGAGCATTTTAATGACACAGTAATGGTACATAACTCATTATCTGGAAATTCAACCCCCAGAATGTGTATTATATTTCATTGCCATGTAGTAGTGCCCATTATTTGAATAATGTAGTTACTTAAATACTTAAAACACACACACATATATATAGAAAAGTGAATAGTAATGTATTAATATCTTTCCTTAACCTTACGAATATATATATATATATATATATATAAATTATATTAGCATATTATATAAATAATACAAAATTAAAGATATAAATTATAATTCCTAAGTACATGTCCACATAGTTTTTCAGGTAGCTTTGCAGATAGGTTTCTTGAAGCGTCTTTGGAGATGTTGCCACAGTTCTTCTAGATTTAGTTTCTTCTGTCTCATTCCAGACAGAATGGATGATGTTGAGATCAGATCTCTGTGTGGAGCACTGGCTGTTGTCAAGACTCCTTGTGCTTACAAAAATCTCACTGGATTATTACAATTAATGGCAAAAGGAATGTTTGGAAATGTAAACAGATTTCCTACTGATACACTACAGCAAAAGATAGATTTTTTTAATGTTTGTAAAAATACTTATGGCCTAAGACTTTTGCACAGTACTGTGTGTGTGTATCCATTTGGGCATTACTGCACAGCCAAGTATCAGTGCAAACTGCGTGATGAAAGAGTCAGTGGTGAAATGAGTAAATAATTTGAATGATTCTAACCAATGCATGTATTATACTTCTCAACAGGGCCCTCTCGAGGTGGCCCAGGTGTTTCTGTCTGAGATCCCTAGCGATCCTAAACTCTACAGGCACCATAATAAACTACGACTGTGCTTCAAAGACTTCACAAAGAGGTTTGTTTCCAGATGCTCTCGCACTACATTAACATTAATTAACTACTAACCCTAGTGACTTTTTACATCACATTAATCATGAAATATTACAGTATGTATACAGGTCAACTATTATCCCAAAAAGAACTGGTTTATTGCAGTCCATGTAAATGTTGCTGCTTTTGTATGGTTGTATGACAAGTTATTTTAATTGTTAAATGGTAATAATACAGTGGTCAGTAATACAATCAGAACTTGGAATTGCCTACATGGAAAAATGCCATGTGACATTTGAACTGATTTCCCTTCAAGGGACTTTAATTAAACCCTGTAACCTTCAATAACCCCCCCTAGATGTGAAGATGCCCTTCGCAAAAATAAGAGTCTGATTGGTCCAGACCAGAAAGAGTATCAGAGGGAGCTGGAGAGGAACTACCACAGATTGAAAGAAGCTCTGCAGCCTCTCATTAACAGGAAGATCCCACAGCTCTACAAACCTGTGTTACAGGTCAACTCACACAGGTCAGACAATTAAAATTATGTCAAAAGCTGTTAAGAATGTCCTGTATACGTCACCTTGTGCCCGATAAACTAGCTTACTGCAGGAACTTGGTTTACCAAACTAACGTTTGAATGAATGAATAATGGTGGGAGCTGCCCCCTCAAGTCTTAATATTTGAATCAATGGGCCATTAATATTTTAGCAATACATCATCAAACGGTTCACTGTAAAGCACACATTTGTTAAGAGTTTCTTTAATATCAAAGCAAAATTGTCATTTAAATTGTAACGCAAATATTGCAGAATTAATAGAAATTCCATCATTGAATCAAATTGAATTGAGGCCTTGTGAATGATAAAACTACAAGTCAGGAAATGGGCCTTCATAGCCTGGTCTATTTTGTGAAATACGTCAACAGCAATGTATGATTAGTTGGTTGCTCATAATGTTTGACACATGGATAAACTTCGTGTTACATCATTTTCCAAAAAAGGTGTTTTAAATGTACTTAATTTCTTTTTTTCCGTTTTAACAAGCAGCAAAAGGACAGCTTAAGAAGGTAGTCAAGTTGTTCGCGAGCATATTTAAAAAAAAACTGTTGTTGACCATTAAAGTTTTGTTTCCTCAGGAATATTTTTTAATCCTTTTATAACATTAAAGTTTTTCTTTTTCTTTCAGAGACTCTTTTAGCAGAATGAGCCTTCGCAAGCTAGATGTGTGAAGACTGAAGAAATAAAAAGAACAAATGCGGTTTTATTTATTTGTATATATCAATCCTCCTCACAATATCAGTGTTTCTGCCATAAAGTAAAAAAAAAAAAAAAAAAGAGAGATAAGTGTTAAGACGTTTGGTACATCATTCCAATTTTGTATTAGTTTACAAAATGGCCTGTTACATGATCATAAGAACTGATGAATTTAGCATACAATGTGTCAAACATGTATTCAATTACTGTGTGCACTATTTAATTTTTATTAACTTCATCCCAGTGCATTTTTAATACAAGAGTTTATTTAATCCTCACGGAAAAAGCAAAAAAGGTGATGATTTTTTTTTTCAGCATTATGTACCTTTTGTTTACTTTAAATATTTGACTAAATAAATACTCTTAATAGCCATTCCAGTGTGTTGTTAAAGAAACTGCACCAAAAGACTTTTATTTTTATATGTTGGTGTTTTAATGTGGTAAGAATCTACATTACCTGGTAATAGAAAAATATTTACATTTTCCCTGCCTCAAATATACAACAGAACACCACAGAACGTAAGAGATTCTTGTGAATTCTTATTTATTGCTCATAGAGATCTTACTGTAATGGCAGGGCCTTCTCACAACATGGGAAAGAAAAGCTTCTTAGACTGGACTGAGGTATGGCTGATAAACTATAAAACTAGAAAAATAGGTCACTTTTATCCCTGTGGTCATTTATAGGCAATTAATACACACTGTACTTGTGAGGTTGACCACCTTTAAAACTAAATTTGATTATCTGTGTGCAAATAGTCTGCAGCGGGGAAACAAAACACATTGGCTGTGCCATCTAGTATTAAAAAAATAAAAAAAATTAAGAGATCAACGTGAAATCTACTTTGGTTTTGTAAGCTATTAATAATACCTTCCAAAACAGGGACATCAAAAATGTGAAATCATATGAGACAAAACAATTAAAAAATATATAAAATTTCAGTGCACAAGAAATCATTTTGTGCTATATCATAGAGCTTCTATGGAATGCTTGAAAGTATAGGAAAACTGTAATATGCACTACAATAAGTGCCAAGGTGCATTTGCATGAGGGTCACTGAAAAGCAGATGACATGAACTCACTGAACAAGAAGAGAGAGTAAAGTACAAAAACAGTAATAGACACAAAAAATGGCAACAAATGTCATTGCCTTGAAAGATTCACATCGGCTTTTCACTGACTGACACTTGTTACACAAACGTACATATAGACTATTAACACATCTCGACTTGCTTTTCCAGTTACCTGCAAACGTACTTTCATGTCTTACCAGTAAAACTTAGTAATTGAGTGGAGTTTCCATATCCAATCGGCTGTTTTTACCGAGAGACTCTCTTGTAGAAGAGCAGGTATGGTGTAGAGGTGGAGCATGTCTCGGGGGAACAGGCTCTGAGGAAGTCCTCTTCTTCAAAGAGTCTCACTTCAGAGTCATCAAACAGCATCCACTTTCCCTCAAAGTCCAAAAGGTTTCGCAGAGCGAGGTCAAAATTCACCTGGGTCCTGTCGCCCATAGCATCAACTCCCTCTTCCTCGGTCGGTTTCTTCACTGCATTCTGAAGCAGAGAACCAGTGGCACGACTGGCTAAGCTGGAAGCCTTCTCTGGATTGGTTTGACTGCTGTTGCTGAGCTCATAACTGGTGACGCTCCTCTGTCCTCCTAAAAGCCCAACACCCTCAGAGCACCTTTTGCTTCCCGATTTGCTGGACATGCTTGTTGCGCTGGCTCTGGCCACATTTCGCCCCCTGCCAGACAAGCTGAAAGACACCTCACCGTCATCGTACTCTGTTTGAGGTACCTCTTCTTTCTTAGGTTTCATGTCTTCTTCTCGGTCTCGGTCTTGCTCTTCATCCTGAGACTGAAGCCTGAGAGTGGTGCGATGGAGATCCATCATGCGGATGTAAGTGGTGTAGTGACCACTGCTGATGGTTACTCCACTGTGCATGACCACGGCAAAGAGCTCGTAGTAATGGCTCTGGTCTGGAGAATCAGGCTGAGTGCACCACTCATGCAGAGCAAGTTTGAGAGGGGTCTGCAGAGGAGTATTCACCTTGGAAAGGCCAGCATAAGGGTCCATCCTAAAGAGTGAAGATGATTTTACCAACTTCTTAATGCACATTGGTAACTTTAACAAGACTGAATAAAATATTTTGCCTCAAGTTGTTTTTCTAACTTTTTCTGTTGTAACAAAAAAAGGTGGGCAATAAAAATTGGTTTCAAGTTACCAGCTTTGGCCATTGGGGGGCACATTGATTTTAGTTTTTCTTCTTGTAAGAAATGCTAAATCCTAAACATTTTCACCCTGATTTCTCTGAGTCTTAATGTTTTCTTTATTTTTTTTCCTTCTGCTGTAATAAACAATGTAAACAGACTCAGGGGGGCAATTTACTGTGTCCTACAGGGCTTCCATAGTTGAAAGATCGGAATGAAGCATTAAAATCAGAAGATGATACATACTCAGAGCCATTGGCAGCAAAGCATTTCAGGTGGATTGTGATGACTTCTGGTGTTTTGTCAAACAAAAGACTTCTCTCAGCTTCTGTGTAGTGATGACAGGTCTCACAGAAATATTTATCTTGACCCACAATCCGCTCCACAGATGCAAATTGAGATATGGCCCACTTTAGAGTTTTCAGCTCAGGCTTGGGATCTGGAGAAACTGAAAAAGGAGGATACCGTTATAAAATTATCTAACCAGCATCCGAGAGTGTTGACTGATAGACAAACACAGATGGATTCAAACACTGTCAATAGCCGCTTTTCCACTGCTGGGCCAGTGCGAGCCAGTGCTTTAAACGCCTTTACACGCCGTCTCTCAGGAACAACGTCACGCAACCCCATCATTTCACCAATAAAGAACTTATCAGAAAACTAAATAAGAAATAAGTCACTGGAACTAGCGCGATCACAAAACGAACATGATAAAAGCAGCCATTTGTTTGCATGCTTTGTTAAAAGATTTAAATCCAAAAGCATCGATGTCTTACAATAAGTGATACATTGATCATAATGAATTAATTGATCAGGACTGAAAATTAGTCACACAGAAATAAAGCGGTATGAACATAGCCTATCTACTTATTCAGTCTAGTCTGTTTATTTGTAGTCACAGTATATACATCACATTTAGAAAGAATTATCATTTCTATATTTTTATAAAAGTTCCCGAACAAAAACCATTATTATATTTTTATGACATTCGTGGAGCTAAACTCTCGAGACCAGACTTATGACAGATAAAATGTTACTAAATAAATACATGATTGTAGGGGTGCTCCGATTGATCGGCTACCGATCACTATCGGCCGATAATCACGTTGTGATAATTGATTTGGTCCCTAAAAAGGCCGATCTCAAAAAAACGATCTCAAGCTGATGACGCTGCTGTGAGAGGTTTGGCATGACGTGCAGCGGCACCGTCTCAGTCTCTGAGTCCTCAGTCCTAAGAGGGGAATTTCCCCCATTTTCAAAAATGAAATTCAGGCCCTGAATAAATGTCTAAAAATCCTGATTGAAGTAACGTTAGAGCTGCACGATTAATCGTTAAAAGATCGCGATCTCGATTCAGACAACCACACGATCTCATTTCTAAATGACAACGATTCTCCTGTGTCTATTAAACCTTTGACAAACTCTTACCGGATCATTCAAATCTGCATTCGCACTGCGCTGACACACAGAGAGCAGTTACCATGTTTGGTTAAGAAACAGCTTCACAAACAGTCTTTTCAACTACACAGTATTATTTCTGTCGTACAGTCATTCATATTATCACAGAAATACTGGCATGAAAGTTTATAATTCAGATAGAAACATTGATGTCTATGGTAGCACGACCAAAATAGAGCAAATCCGCATTTGAATGTAACTGCCTCATAACGTTTGTGTCGATTGCATTGTTTTCTTTTAATATCAAATTGGTATATTAAATATATTATATTGTAAATACACATACGCTACCAGTCAAAAGTTTTTGAACCATAAGATTTTTTTATGTTTTTTTTTTTATGCAGAAGTCTCTTCTGCTCGCCAAGCCTGCATTTATTTAGTCCAAAGTACAGCTAAATATTTTTACTATTTAAAATAACTTTCTGATTTCAATGCAACATTTATCTGAAATAGAAATATTTTGTAACATTATAAATGTCTTTATCATCACTTTTGATAAATTTAAAGGATCCTTGCTAAATAAAAGTATTAATTTATATAATTAAAATAGAATATATAAAAATATATTCAAATTTAAAAGAATTTTAAATAGTAAACATATTTCACAGTATTACTGCTAGTAATAAATGCAGGCTTGGTGAGCAGAAGAGAATTCTTTAAAAAACATCTTACTGTTTAAAATCTTTTGACTGGTAGTGTATATTAAAATGTTTAATAATAAATATTTCTGCCTTGTATGGTAATCATAATCCACATCGGATCAAGTTATTTCAAACACTCACTGCTGTCTGAAAGTGAGTTTTGAACTAAAATTATTTTAAAAGTCTTTAATGTTGGTGTTAGCTGTTAACTTTCTGAAATTATCCGCGGCGCTGACGCTCTCCAGATGCAGAGAAACTCCGCCTTTGCTCATAACCACTCCTCTAGCCCCAGCTGGCCCAAGGTTTTCGTCGGGCCAAAAAACCCGGGCTGTTGGCCCCGAGGAAGCACCGACGAGGCACGATCAAGCCCCAGAAGTGACAGTGGAAATGCGACTGGCCCTGGCACGCACTAGCACGCCCGCTTTTGGACCAACAGTGGAAACGCAGCTAATGTACTTACTCTCAGAACTGGAGTCGGAGGAGCTGTTCTCGTCCTCTTGCACAGGTACGCTGATGTCTTGAAAGTCCTCTCTCCGCTCTGTGAAACACTCACATTCCAGGCAGCGTGTCCGCAGCACCAGCTGACCCTGGAACATCCACTTCAGCACATCCAGGCCTGATTGCTCTAATTACACAACATTGACAAATTCTTTAGTTATACAAGTTATTGATCACAAATTTACAGAGCCCCACATATATGTGTATATATATTAATGTGGTCCCAAATTAAGAATTTGTTCCCTCGTTTCAGTAAATTGTGGCTACGTTGTAC